CATTCATTTTTATATAGTAACTAAATAAATCTACAATTTAAAAAAATATATAAAATAACTCCAATATATCCAAAATTTAATCAAACATGTTTGAAACGTGTCTAAAAGTTATGAACAATGTTAGTTATTTTAATTTTTTTTGGGGGGAGGGGATGAATTTGAGTTTGAACATCTTTAAATATTTTTTTTATTTAATCTATTTTGAAACTAAATATATTATCAAATTAGATATAGCATATTATTTATAAGTAGATCTCCCGTGATATAGTAAGTGATTTATCGTTGAAAAAAAATTGAAGAAAAAATATTAAAGGTGATTTGACTAATGCATAAGGCTTTTTTTTTTTTTAGGGTCTAGATTTGTGCCGACTACTCTCATAAGCTTGAATATTGGTTATCCTAATTCGAGTGAGTTTAAAACATATCTCTATGAAAGCAAGGGTGACTGACAAAAGTGTCGCAAAACAGCTGCTATTTCAATATGATCGATTCCAAAGTTTGCGCTTCAACTAATTCTGAATTGTCAAATTAGCCTGCTGTAACAAATTTTAGACTAAGGCATGAATAACGTGGCTGCTATGGTTACAAAAAAAAAAAAAAAAACTAGATATATACAATATTACTTTTCCATGTAAATAGATCATTAATTTCGTGACTTTATGATAATTAGACAACAATTTAATAATCTTACAAGGTGACCAATACCTAAATCGTTGTTCTAAAACAATAAAATTGAATATATATATATATATATAATTATCGATGATAATCGAAAGAGTAAATGAACGTTAAAATTAATTGTAAATAAAATAATCAAAGAGATAACTTATGATTAACCTCTCAATAGAGTACAACGACAAAACAAGATTTTTATAACCAACTAAAAAGAATACGACAAACCTTTGTTGACTGATTTGACTAAAATAATTTTTTCTTCTCAATCTGGTCACAACCCTGATGCCATTGGCATTTGAATGCCACAAACATCACTTTCGATACCTTATCTTCTAATATTTTGATGAAAAAATTGCAGACACTGATGTTGCTTTTGGGAGAAAATTTGGGTTCGGGGTGGGGAAGGCAGCCAAAGTGAGCATGATTAATCAAAATTGAGTTTCCGAAGACTCGTACAAGATAGATATCAATGTTTTGTAAAGTCTATGTGCTATTGTGAAAAAGGTATTCATTGTCAAAAAAAGGGAGCACCATCTTGTGTCTGCTTTGGCAACTCACCCAACAATGCACCCACTGACCCACTAGTTTCGCAACCAATTATATTACCATTAAGTGGAATAAAAGTAACTTTTGGGTTTCGTGAATATTATACTTTCAACGTGAATAGTTTATGTTTGATTAAATTGAAGAGAGAATTAATCGAAATGTACATAAATTGATCGAAACACTCTTGACTACTGAACCAAAAAAAAAAAAAAAGTAACTTTTGAGTCAGAATTTAGAACTTCTCCATTATATATCTTTTAATTTTTTTTCAATGATAAATCACAATTCATGGGACCTATTATTTGTAAATAGGCTCCTCACTCTTGTTCGGTTTCTTTCACTCCTGTGTGAATGATGGGTGATGAGTTCATCTCGTTTTTTGTTTTGGTTGAATGGTTAGAAGTGTTTAGATCAATTTACACACATTTCGACTAATAAAATATTTATTAGAAAAAAATTTCTTATGACTAACCATAAAGAATTATCAAAATTTGAATTGAAGACGACTAAATTGACAAATCGTTCTTGTTACTATTTGAACTACCCCTTAAAATTTATGTCTTGTGTGAAGGATGGGTGATTGGTTCATTATTTTGAAGTTTTTAAGTTGTTGAGCAATCAAAGTAGGTGGACTCTCAGCTTAAATTTATGTTAGTTGGCATTGCCTACTCTGCTAGTCTTTCTTTCTTTCTTTATCTGTTCTGTTCATGGCTAAAACATTAAAAACCAAAAGCTTAGTTTTAGGACAACAGAGCAATGAGGAAACTCGAGCCTTTAGAAATCAAGGTTAAAATAAGAGACAGGCACTGAAAAAAGTTGCATTTAGTTCTGCAATAGGCAAAAGAAAAAAAGTAATGTTTGCCGTTAAAATGTCATGGGCTTGATGGAAGATGGACAACACCGACTAGACACTCTTTCTAACGAAAAGATGGAACGGAGAGAGCGATTCTCAAGTAGGGATTGAAAATGTCTCTATTTCCCTGCTTGTACACTACCTCATTTTGGTTTTGTCCTTAATAGAGAAAAATTGTCTCACCAATAACTGATGTTGTCTCACTCATCGTTGAGTTATTAATCTAACAGTGAGAATGTAAGTTTTAGTCAAGCACGATGACAAGATGTGTCTTGTTATGATGTCTCTTACTTCTTTTTTTGATCAAATATCATTATAAGGAGGAAAACGACTAGATCTTAAAAGTGTAAGAGTGGTGTCATGTTAGGCTGTACTAGTAGTGGGCTTGTGTGACTCTCATACTAAATTGAACAATTATTTGTTTCATTGTACAGTCTAAGTTTGCAACGTCCTGGCTAATACGCAGCTTATCTCATCAAATGTGCACATGCATTCGCCTAAATGAAAACCCCCTTGATCTTACATAATCATTGGTGTATCTCTACCTAAATTATTAGGCTTGAAATGGGACGTGACGTGACCCATGGGCTGGTCTATTTGCCTAGCAAATCAATCAAATTTTGGGAGGCTTCATGAAGTGCTTCTTTAGGAGTTAAATGTTCATTTGTTCATATTTTAAGAAAAAATATCTCTTGTTTCTCATTCCCATTCCAAAAAGAATAAATACTATGACTTACATTTTGAATAGGCATGAATACAGCCGCATGGACAACCCACATTAGAATCATGAAACCTATTTTATGGATTTAAATTTTCTCTAAAATATTATTGTAATTGTTTTTTTGACAGATCATTTATTATTTTGATGGGTCTCATGTGCATGATAATAGCCCTTAGGTAAACCCCATGACCTAGTCAATGAACCCAAAAAAATTTAAAATTGGAAAAATTGTAAGAAAGTATACGAAAATTAGAGTTATTTGTCATAAAATACATAACTCTTAATGTTATGTAATTAAGTCCTTATTTTTAGAACTTAATTGTGTCAAAGTACACAATTTGACTTTTTGTGATTTTCTTTTGATATATTTCTCCTTTGTTAAATCATGCATATTTTTTTGGCAATTAATTAGATTTTTCTTTTTGTTTTATTGTATGAAAGATTTCCGAATATAATGAAAGAATTATATTATTACAAGATTTGCATATAATATTGATTGTGTATATCTCTACCATTTTGAATTTTAATTTTTTTTTGTTATTATCATTGTCAATAAATATCTCTCTTTTCTTCTTCTCCAAATTATCAATCATTAATGTTTAGAAAAACTCAAACCTATCAATCTTATTATTCTTCAACGAACACAGAAAAATTCAAACATATCGTATTTCTTCTTCTACAAAGTTCATATATTATCAAGTTGAACTTATGTTTTTTTTCATTTTTTTTTATTTTGTTCGTTCCATAGACTGTTAGTTAATTTCAAATTTTTTTTTCTTCACAGTTTTTGCATTCAGTTCTACATATTGTGTTGAGTGATTACTTTTTTTGTTAACTTTTCAACTTTTAAATAATTATTTGTTAATTTTAATATTTTTTTATTTTATGAATTTATTTTATAGTTTTATTTTTGAATACTGAACACTAGAATAATGGTTGTTGTTTGAATTCTAAATTGTGTTTTTTTTTTCTATATGTTGTTTTCATGGTAGTTTCTTCGAGAATAACATATGTTATCTATTTGTTCAATTCAAAATTACAAGGTGTACATAAAATCACTCTATAATTTGAATTCATATGAAGTTATAATTTAAAAGTGTATCAATATAGTGTGAGACTAAGGGGTTTATGAAATTAAATGTCTAATTTTTGTATATTCACAATCACAATATCAAATATATGTGATTTACCCTAATAAAAACTTAACTACAATGTCCAATAGAAAAATGTGTTCAAAAATTATATGATTATAGTATATTTACAAAAAATTAAATTGTATCAATACAGTGTATAAATAATAAAAACTAGGATTTAAAAATTACACAAATTTAAAGTGTTGCATTTATCAATACAATGTAGTAAAATAATGTAGGAGTAATAGAAACTAAACTTCATAATGTAACTTTGCAGTATTATATGCAAAAGTTTTCAAAATCTTTAAAACATATTCCTAAAAAAAAATAGAGAAGATTTTTTATAATTTTTTATTTTCTTAAATTTTAGATTTTTGTTTTATTAGAACTTCTATATATAAATAATAAGAAAACCTATTTACAATAAAAAGGTATTTAAGTATTTCTATGTCTTACATGAAACTTTTTACAAAACTTTTTTACTAATGTATTTTTTGACAATTAAGTCTAATTTTATGTACCGACTATTGAATGACCCTTATTACATTATATATATATATATATATATCATTGTATAAATTATATATATATTGTATATAAATGTGAATGACCTCTAACCGACCAATTAAATAAGTGTTACTGTGTGACTCTATAACTTACACTTAGAGTTAATATTGTATTTGATAAGTATCATGATTTGAGACTTAAAAAAAAAGGCTTTCATTGCATTGAAAAATACACGAGTTGAGAAGTTCTTTCTCTATATTCTTTTTGTAGTTTCTATAATTTTCTTACTTTAACAATAGATGCGACAATTTTGATAACAAAATTTAAAAGGGCAACGCCAAATTCAAAAACAAAATAAAAAAAGACCCATTAGGGGCGATCCATTGGACATTTTGTAAAGATTCGTTAAAAACTGGCCCAAATGAAGAGGTCCTGTGTGGGCTATAGGTTTTCTGAATGTTAACCCGGTCCGGTAGAGACGACCACTGGGCTGCTGACTGGAGCCCATTATTGACTGGTAACATAAAAAAATAAGAAAAAGAAAAAAGAACAACTCCTTTCTCCCATTGGAACGCACTCCAAGTCTCGAATCTTCTACTCTTCTGCTTAACAAGTCCTCCATTTCTTTGCAAAATAAAAATATTACGAATATTTTTTATCTCTCTTCTGTATATTTGTGCCGATCTTTAAGGTAAGTTTGAATCTAAATCTTTCGTTTATGTAAATATATATGAGATTTCACATGATTTTGTTTAGATGCATTGGAATTCTGGTTCGATTCTTGAAAACATCAGAGTTCTATCTTTAATTAACATGTATATTTGTCCTGTTAGAATTGAGGTTGGTTGATTATAGAGACTATTTTCAATCTTTTATAGGTTATGATTTGACTGATTAATAAGATTTGCTAGTAAGAATTAGGGTTTTACCCGTCGTCTGGATTGTAGAAACTATTGTTGCGTTTTTGTTTTTTGGTTTCGACGTGTTGAATTGCATTAGTATGGGATTTGATTTGATTATTGTGGCTTGCAAAATAATTTACGGTTTTTGTGGTTAATGTCGTTTTTGACTTGGTTGGATTTTTTTTGGGGCTATTTAGGCTTTTTTTTTTAGGTTATCTTGTTCAAGTATAGCAGTCATCTTTATATTTTCTTCATATTTTCCTTTTCTCTCAATTTTCCAACACAAGCAAACAACGGGAATTGATTATCCAATATATTGACTGCTCCAAACGAAGGCCCCAGTTTCTAGGAAGAAGTGTTTATTTTAAGGTTTTGTTTTTAGAAACAGAGCTTTTGTTGCATCCAGAGAACCTGCGTCTGTATGTGTCATTCATTTATTAGGTGCTTTAATCAGCTTTAGATGCCTTAGAAGACGACCTGGTTATTCGATTATTTCACTGCGTGTTATATATTTGGCATTCAAGTGTTATTTGTAATTGGTTGGGTTAAATAATAGATGAAGGAGATTTCAATTTGATGAATACATCCTTTTCCTGGACCTTGAATTTGTTGGCATTTTCATAATGATATGTTCCCGTGCTGAATGAGGTTTTCTCTGATCCATATTCCAAAGGTGTTTTCTATAGCAGAGTTTACTGGTTGGATGGCAAGTGAAACTTGGGAATCAATGAGCAGCCCATCTCAAAGTTCGTCTAGCTCAAGTGATGGCATGAATGATGCTGGCAATTTTGAGTGCAATATCTGCTTTGAATTAGCTCAAGACCCAATTGTTACTCTTTGCGGTCACCTCTACTGTTGGCCGTGTCTATCTAGATGGCTCCGTCTTCATTCGCATTCCCAAGAATGCCCAGTGTGTAAGGCCCTAATACAGGAAGAGAAATTGGTTCCTTTGTATGGAAGAGGGAAGACACCAACTGATCCAAGGTCAAAACTGATTCCTGGTGTTGAAATTCCAAGTCGGCCAGCAGGCCAAAGACCTGAAACCGCCCCTCCTCCTCCTCCGGATGTAAACAACTTTGCCAATGTTGGGTTCGGATTTATGGGGGGATTCATGCCGATGGCAACTGCGAGATTTGGTAATGTCGCAATGTCTGCTGGTTTTGGTGGATTATTTCCATCTTTATTCAATATTCAGGTTCATGGTTTCCCAGATGCTACTGTGTATGGTACAACATCGGGATTCCCCCATGGGTTTTCCAATGCATTTAACGGGGTCCATGTTCATCGCACTCCGCAGACAGGTCGAGGGCAGCAGATAGATTTTTCTCTGAAGATGCTTTTTTTGATCATTGGTATTGTTACAGTCCTTTCACTGATTTTGTCATAAATGTATTTTCCTCAAGCTTAGACTGCTAATGGTTTGCTAGGTTTGATATTGTTGCATGCCTTTAAATTTTTTTTTTACAATAATGTATTGTGCTCGAGAAATTTGTGTATATGATACTTTGGCGATGCTCTTACTTTGTGCAATCCGAATGTGGATTGCACATCCATGTTTTCCATATGTGATATGTGAAATCTCCCTCTCCCTCTCCCTCTCTATGATATGTGTGGTTGATTTTTGCTAAATAGTGATGCTTTGCACTTCACATATTTTTTGCAATTCAATTTTTGGTTGAAACTTAATTGTCGTCATGTGATTTTTTCGGTGTATCTGCATGTGATATTTTCATTGGAGATGATTAGTTTGCTTATTCTTGGGCTTTATCATCTAAAGAATGGGAAGTGTAATGGCCATTGTTGCCTACACCCATGGATTTTTTATATGGTTACGTGGATTTCTAATTCTTTATTTGGATACAAATGGCCCTTTGTGATCCATGCTTATCTGTTTGACTGAATTTTTTCTTTGGTATGTCTTTTTTTTGAAGTATCTTTTGTGAGTTTCAGTGCTTCATTTTTTGTTTGGGAATCTTGGAACCGCAGGAAAATAGCCTCCTTTTAACGATAGGTTGTTTAGATAAGTTGCCTTCTCATTCCCCTCCTTTTCCGTCCTCAAGTTTTGAAGTGGAACAATTCATGCATGCAAGGAAGTGGGATTATGTTTAGACTGTTGTAACATGAAGCCCTCAGCTTATGAACCTTAGCTATTGTGCATGATTACGATTATTACTCTCACCCTTTCATGCCTTCTGATCATCATCCGTGTATCTTAAAAACTTGGTAAGGAAGTTTGTTATGAATGCAATTATGTTTTACAATATCACTTTTCTTCATGAGGCAAGAAAGTCGCATCCAAACTTCTAAAATTCGTTAACCACATGTTGTGCGTGAAAGAAGTGTTGGATACATGTCGAAAATTGGTATAATTTACTTTTTGATATGGGTTTGGGCAAAGATGTTTCAGAGGAGCTTGGGAATTTTTGAGAAATGCCAATGTTCAACATATGCTGGACATGAACTGTGCGTTCTTATATAAGTGCCCATACTTTTTTAGTGACTGAAAAAGTAGAACACCCCCCACTATTAGATGTTTTACGACATTGAAGGTACCTTACGATATGGAGAGCCTCAATGGGAGCTTTTGACCCATCCTATGGTCTTTTAAAAAAAAAGTCCCAAATAAGGATAGGCTTCAAAATATTTTTTAAACTCAGGTTATTTTAAAAACGTCAGTTGGTCTGATGTTTTTAAGTCAAAAGACGTCAGTTGGTTTGGTGTTTTTAACTTAAAAACGTCAAATCAACTGACGTTTTTAAGGTTATTATGAGACTCAGTATACTGCTTAAACATGTTAGTTGGACTGACGTTTTTAGAAGAATCGTCAGTCCAAATAATGCGTTTGTTATAAAATCTGAACGTCTTAGATCAAACCCACAAAGTCTATATAACTTAAAAGGATTGTTGTCTCCATGTCTAAATAAAAAAAAGTATATTAATATTTATCACAAATTTTGTAATCACGTCAATGAATTGAATTCTACCTCCACATATGCCTATTTTATTAACTAAAAGGACATTAGTAGAAAATGCTTGGATAAAAAAATAAAAAAATCTTGAATAAAAATCTAATGCTTGAATAAAAAAATAAATTAATATTTATTTGGGTAATTATCATAAAGTGACTCCTATCATTTCTCTCGAAGTTTAATGTAGTCCCTAAAATTTTAATTTTTTTAATTTAATCCATCAATTATCAATTTTATTTCAATTAAATCATTGATAGTTGAAAGACTAAAATAAGACAAGTGAAAGTTTATGGATTAACTTGAAATTAGAGATAAAATTCATGACTAACTATGAAATTTATCGTATTTTTTTTATAAAATATTGCAAAAGCATCAAATAAATATAATTTTTAATCAATTTCTAATTAATTTTAATTTCTAAAAATGTTTTGCTCCCTCTCTTTTTAAGAAGATGGTTTTTTTTATGTATTTAAAAATTTAATTACATTCAATAAATAAATTTTGATAATTTAAATATACTTATATTTTTTAGCATATGAAACTTAAAAAATTGAAAACGTATACATAAAATTAATTTTTTTATTATATAATTATAAATGCATACATAAAATAAAAATAAAAATTTATTTGTAATGTTGATCATGTCGACATTAATGTTTATTAAGATGTGAAAAAACATAAGTTATTCAGAACGTGTACATGTTAAAAAAAGATGTCAACAACGTAATTGGTATTGAAAACAACATAAAGGATTATCACGTACACATAAACATGATGGGATAAAAGTGTTGGATGTATCATCGTCCCAATCAGAAAAATCAGAAAGCTCGAGATATATATACTACCATTGACATTAATCAGAAAGCTCATTCACGTTTCTCTGATTGGGAAGATGATGCGTCTGATACTTTTATTCCATCATGTTTATGTGTACTCGATAATCTTTTATATTGTTTTGAATACTAATCACGTTGTTTGACATCCTTTTTTAACATTTACATGTTCTAAATAACTTATGTTTTTTCACAGCTTAATAAACATTAATGTCCACATGATCAACATTACAAATAAATTTTTATTTTTATTTTATGTATGCATTTATAGTTATATAATAAAAAAAATTTAATTATATGTATACGTTTTCAATTTTTTAAGTTTCCTATGCTAAAAAATATAAGTATATTTAAATTATTAAAATTTATTTATTGAATGTAATTAAATTTTTAAATAAATAAAAAAAATCATCCTCTCAAAAAGAGAGGGGGCAAAATATTTTTAGAAATTAAAATTAATTAGAAATTTATTAAAAATTATATTTATTTGATGCATTTGTAATATTTTATAAAAAAAAATACGGTAAATTTCATAGTTAGTCATGAATTTTATCTCCAATTTTAAGTTAATCCATGAACTTTCACTTGTCTTATTTTTGTCTCTCAACTATCAATGATTTAATTGAAATAAAATTGATAATTGATGGATTAAATTAAAAATTTTAAGGACTATATTAAAATACGAGAGAAAATAATAGGAGTAACTTATGATAATTTAAAATAGGCATATGTGGAGGCAACATTCATTGACGTGATGACAAAATTTGTGATAAATATTAATATAATTTTTTTATTTAGGCATGGAGGCAACAGTCTTTTTAAGTTTTAAGTTATGTGGACTTTGTGGGCTTAGTCTGAGGCGGTTAGATTTTAAAACAAACGCGTCATTTGGATTAACGCTTCTTCTAAAGACGTCAGTTCAACTAACGTGTTTAAGCAGTATACTAGGTCTTATAATAAGCTTAAAAATGTTAGTTGGTCTAACGTTTTTTGGCTTAAAAATGTCAAACCAACTGTCGTTTTTAAAATGACCTAAATTTGAAAAATATTTTGAAATCCACCCGTAGTTTTGACTTTTTTTTTTAAAAAACCATGGATGGGTCAAAAGCTCGCCTCAACCGTGTGGCAATCTGGGCGCCATTGGGTTTGAGAGGATCAGTGAACAATTTACAAGGGCAGGCATATAGGTTGTCAAAGCAGGCAATGCATTTTAGTTCAAAAGCTCAGAACATCAAACTTAGGTCTCCTTAGGAAATTTTCCCTTGTTACACATATACTGGGTGGTGGGTCACAGTCCAGTCTCTGTGTCTAAGTTGCAGATTCCACTTATGGTTCACCGTTTTTTTCTGCAGGAAACCTTGCAGTTTGTGGGTGGTATCATTCCTTAGGCAGTGGAAAACTTGATGATGAAAACCATTTCTAGGTGATGAATTGGTTATTTGATGCTGTTTCTCAAAATAAGTATTTGATAGTGAGATGCGTACTAATTTCACCGTGATGAACAAGCCTCCCCTTTTTAGAATCCTTTTGACGAGAGAAATTTGTATTAAACTGAAAATGAAGTGGCAGTTGGTGGTGTGAAAAAAGATGGAGATATACAGTGTGAACAATTGTTGAGATTGCAAATATGCGGTTGTTGGGGTTGAGTTACGAGTGTGGGGCTTCTCTGGCGCATGAAAATAAAATGTGAAAATGGTGGTTTGAAAATTCATCTGATTTACCTGGGTAATTCCTATCTTCACTCAATTTTAGGGGCCTGAGAAACCAGAGTTCTGTTTTTCCCTTTGATGAGACACACCCACACCCACGTGATAGATGATCATCCGTGTCATATTTTTTAGACTCAAGTGCCTGCACTACAAATTCCGAAGACGCAGAGTCATTATCCATTCCAACTATTCTTTATGGATTATTAGTAAGCAGTAATAAGTTGAGAATAGTACACTTGTATCTTAAACGGGTGTATTCCCATGGTCTACTTTATTTCTAGCTTTCTGCTTCATTCAGGGTATGACCCTAGTGTTTGTTGTTGGATGTCAAAACATTTTTTTTGTTGGAGTCCAAATAACAGAAATTATGCAGTTTTTAATATTATATATCTTCTGTTTTGGCCAGTAGTAGTTTTTTAATCAGGACTGTGATAAATAGTTCAAAGGGAGGTATTTGAACTGTATTTTGATTGAAACCTGCTAGTAGAAGCGGTCAGATGACAATAAAGAAGAGAAGTACAAGCTTCATCAAATCCTGCATTAGCAGAGCTTTTAGAATGTTTATTATTATTGTTGGACATTTTCCCTTGTGATATTTCAAATCCTTCTACTCCTACCTAATGTTTGCACCAGAAGTAATTGAACTAAATCTCACACATTTGTGTGGTCATGAGCCTGAAAGGCTGGTACTCTCCAACCAGAGAGAGAGAGAGAGAGAGAGAGAGAGAGAGAGAGGTTGGGTAGTCAGTATGAAAGAGTGAATCTCTTGTTTTGGATTGGAACTTCTTAACCATTGATTGATGACACTGGCTTAAATTAGCAACTACTTTTAGTTGTGGCTTTGTAAGGTAGACAACAGCAACGTCTCTGTTACGGACGGGGTAAAATGTGGTTGTGGCGGTTGGTTTATTTTGTGGAATGATTATTTTATGATTCTGAATCAATAAATGTTTATATGATGACATAGTAGATTCGAACAAGGGTGGAGATATTGCTATCCAATAGGATTGAACATTCCATTCCGAATGAATTCTGATCTTGTCCAATATGTTTTTCTCCTATTAGTCAAGTCCACCATTTCAACATGGACTCATGGTGATCTCAAGTTCATAGGGGTAGGTTTCCGACGTTTCGGTTGAATGGTGATGAGTGCTCAGGTGGAAATATTGGAAGTGGGAAAGATAGTCAAGTAGTCGAATTTAACTTCTCCTCCTCGGTATCAATCTCATTCCCTCGATTGATCGAGCATCAGACCAACCCAGTATTAAACACTTTTTTCAGATCCTCTGTTTGCTTAGTCTCAGTTCTATACTTTAAATCTGTGTCTGTGAAATGTAGAACCCATAAATTGTTAAATGCAAAGGAGGCGCTTATTCAAGTAGTCTGTTAGTCATGTGCAGAACATGGAAAATTAGTTATTGTGATGCTTGCATAGGACCACATATGGAGGAAGGATTGATTGAGTGGGCATGTGGGGCTGCACATGCAATTGAATGATTTTAGTTGAGCTCGTACTTTTGGCTATTAGATTGGGATCGGTTACCCAAATCAATATATTCTATACCTAAGTGATCAATTATTATATGCACGGAAGCTGTTTGTGAAAAGGTTTTAAAAGGAACTTGAAATAAACCTATCAATTTGCTCCTTAGATCTGCTATGAATTCAATGATTATTAATTCAGCTCCTATTTTAGCTCTTAAATGGGCATCATTTACTTCCTCTATTTCAGTTTTAGACGTAAACAAAGAACAATTTGTAACCATTTTGGTGATGATGAGGTATTATATGCACTTTATCTGTTTGTGAAAAGGTTCCAATTCCTAATAGCCTTTTACTTGAAATAAACCTATCACCCAAATTTTTGGTAGATTTGTCAGTTGAGGGGGTCATTAACCCTTTAGCTTTGCAATGAATTAAAGGGTTTGGTCACATGGGTTGGAACGGAAAATATGTTGCTATATGACTTCCACTTTTGTCTACTAGCTTCTAGTTTTGCTGTCTGTTTCATGCTTCATTTGCTATGTTTTGGCCCACCTGGGCCCTCTTAGCCTGGGGTCAGTGCCGACTTTCTGTTGTAGTTGCTTTCCGGCAATTAAGCTCTGCTAGATATTGGAATTTGAATGGTATACAAAGAGAGTAGCGTGGATCATGGGCAAGAGACAGAGAGAGACGGAGAGAGAGAGAGAGGCAATTAAATTAGTCAAGTGCTTATCATGGGGACAGGGGTGGTCGCAATGAGGTCTCTCCATTTAATGATTTACGATATATCAGGAGTAACCAAATATCTGGGTTTAGATTTTGGAAGTTCACTTACAAGTTAAAAATAGATTTGTGGTAAGACTAATGTTTTTGTTTGGTAGAAAAGATGAAAAGTAAGAGAGACACATTTTTTATTCTTTAAGGAAAGAAAGTAAGAATGATACACTTTCATTTCTTTGTATTTGGTAGAATAGATAGAAAATAGAATATTTTTTTTTGTGCTGACTAAGATTAGGGGTGATAATCGAATCGTATCAGATTCGTGTTGAGTTATCAGGTCATTTTTAAGTTTGTGTCGAGATATAATCAAGTTTATGTCATAAAATTTGTACCGAGTTTGAGTCATGTTATCGTGTTGAGTCAAAAATTTTCACCCTTAACTAAGATGGAATTTTTTTTTTAATTTTTAAAATATATTTTTTTAATTTTTTTTAAATTTAATATATATATATATATATATATATATATACATATTTTATCATTGTATTTTTAAATGAAATTAATGTATACATAATATATGTATATATAAAAAGATATATAAGATATATTTTAACACAAATAATTAACTTTTCATCCATTTTTTTTTCGATTTTGAAGGGATTGATTTTGGTGAATTGAAAGGAAAGTTAATCTATCAACTTTTTCATCATTCTTATATTCCTTCCTTACCAAACATGATGTATTATTTATCCCTTAAACTTTCCTTTCTTCTAACTTTTCATCTTTTCATTTTTTCATTATACAAAACAGAGCATAATGCTCTGTTTGGTAGGAAGGATGTAAAGTAGAAAATATGGAAAATAAGAGGGATACATTTACTATTCTTTAAGGGGGGAAAATAAGAATGATACACTTTATTTCCTTTGTGTTTGGTTGGATGGATGAAAAATAAAAATGACTAACTTTTTTTGTGCTGATTAAGATTAGGGGTGACAATCGAATCATGTCGTGTCAAATTCGTGTTGAGTTCGAGTCGTGCTATCGTGGTGAGTTGAAATTTTCATCCCTAATTAAGATGAAAAAAATATTTTTTTAATTTTAATTTTATATATAAATACATATTTTATTATTATATTTTCATATAAAATTAATGTATACATAATATATAGATAAATAAGATATATCTCAACACAAATAATTAACTTTTCATCCACTTTCCTTCCGATTTTAGAGGAATTGATTTTAGTGAGTTAGAAGAAAAATTAATCTATCCACTTTTTCATCATTCCTTACCAAACATGATGTTTTATTTATCTTTTTAACTTTCTATCCTTCTATTTTTCTATCATACCAAACGGAACATAAGGGTAGAGTGGAATGAAATCTCATTCAATACATTTTTTTTAAAATTTCTCGGGCATAGATCACCTTCTGTAAATTTGAATGAGACTCATCTTATATAATTGAGTCACTCATTAATATATGACGTATGATCGAAATTTTAAAATTTGTCTTTTTTAGATTTAATTTGTTGACTTGATGATGTGGTCTTATTGTAACCATTAAATTAATGCCAAATTCTAATATTTGATAATTCTTAGAGATGGTTCAGTTGTTAAATCTGACATTTGATAACTCAGAGGTTTTAGGTTTAACACATCTTATACCCTTTAAGGGCGGGTCACCCTTGTTCTTAAGGGAATATGTTTTAAACTCGCTCAAGCTTCTGTGGTTATTATCTGAGTTGAAGAGAGTAGTTGATATAAACTTGTACACTCTATAACAAAAATTAAAAATAAAAATTAATTTTTAATAGAACTCATCGTCATTTCAATGATTGTAGTTTATTAGATCAATAAAATTAGGTCTAAATATCATTACTATTTTCTAATATATGTGAAACTAATTTTTTTTTTTGTATGTCCATAAGAGTATCTCTAATTATGACTCAAGTTTAGACTTAAAATTGGAGTAAAATGCTTAATTTTTGTTGAGGAAGTGATGCTTTAACTTTTGAGCAACTATTTCATTTAATAGCCATATGCTAGGATTCAAATTTGTACTTTGTAGTACAATACATTAGTGCTCTTTCTGGCCTCTGTACCTAGGAAATAAAGGCGTCAAATGGAAGGTACTACCGATGTGCTGGAGCTATCCCCAAAGTGGATGGCTCAACTAAACATAGAGAAAACAGAACAAATCGATTTAGATAAAGAGTATACAAGGCCAGAAGCTATTAACCTAGTATCCCAACTTCAATACATCTTTTATTTGAATTTTATAGTCCGGGACGAAGTTTTACATAATTTTAAACCGTTAATACGATTTCTCATTCAAAAAATGTAAGAACTTGCAAGCATCGATCCTGCTATGATATATGCAATTTTACAAACTATGGTTCAATAAATCTGGTGGAATAATATAGGCACCCGTACGTATTAGTCTTGTCAAATCTTGTTTATTCTTATAATTAATTAGAAAAAGTACCGACATTGTAAGGCTTCCATTATTTCCCTCCCAAAATTAACGGAGTGTGATTTAACATCAAGATTTGGCCCTTGGCCGACAGAGAGAGAGAGAGAGAGTGACTTTAGAGACCTCTCTCCTTGAACTTTTATGAATTTGCAAGCCAATTTTGTTTGCACCCAAACGATGCCAATGCCTCTATCTCCAAGTCTTCTCTTCTCTCTCCTGTTAGTCACCTCTATTGCCGCCACCAATGCCGCCGTAACCACCACCCTCCAATTCAGAGAAGCACCACAATTCTACAACTCCATCAACTGCCCTTCAATTCTCAATGACCAGCAAAACAACAATGGCATCAGCAACATCAGTACCCAACTTTGCTCTGTTAATGCAGTGCACGTAGCAATGACCCTCGACGCTGCTTATCTCCGGGGATCAATGGCCGCCATTCTCTCCGTTCTGCAACACTCCCACTGCCCGGAAAACACAATCTTCCACTTTGTCGCCGCCGCCTCCGCCGACGCTAATCTCCTAAACCCCACCATTGCCAAATCATTCCCTTATCTACACTTCAAAATCTACCCCTTCGATGACTCGGCGGTTTTAGGCCTTATTTCCACATCCATTCGGGCCGCCCTTGACTGTCCATTAAACTATGCTCGCAATTATCTCGCCGATCTCCTCCCAGTATGCGTCGGAAAAGTGGTCTACCTCGACTCCGATCTCGTCCTCGTCGATGATATTGCAAAACTAGCCGCAACGCCACTGGGTGATCAAGCAGTCCTTGCTGCGCCAGAGTATTGCAATGCAAACTTCAACTCCTACTTTACGCCGACGTTTTGGTCGAACCCTTCTCTTTTTCTGACGTTCGCCAATCGGAATGCTTGTTACTTCAACACCGGAGTTATGGTGATCGATCTTGAAAGATGGAGAGCCGGAGATTATACTACCAAGATTGTAGAATGGATGGAACTTCAGAAAAGAATGAGGATATACGAGTTGGGTTCTCTACCCCCTTTTTTGTTGGTTTTTGCAGGAAACATAGCTCCGGTGGATCACAAATGGAACCAACATGGCCTTGGTGGTGATAATTTCCGGGGACTATGCCGGGATTTACATCCGGGTCCGGTAAGCCTTTTGCATTGGAGTGGAAAGGGTAAACCATGGGCTCGACTTGACGCGAACCGGCCATGTCCTTTGGATGCTTTATGGGCACCTTATGATCTTCTACAAACACCATATGTTCTTGAATCCTGATCAGCTGATGCTAGTTTTGTAGTGCATGTTTGTTATCTTTGAATTTGCAGAAAGAAGTGTGATTGAACACATATGGTTATACCTTAAGACCTTTCTCTGATGGATATACATACTGTTTCTTCATCGGAGATGTTAGTAAAAAAAAAATGGCAAGGTGAGTGGAGGTTGTTTGTATATTATACTTACTGTTATAAGCAGATTTTACTGTTCTGCTGCTATTTTTGACTTGAATATTTTGTGAACAAATTACAGTTATGGTTATGCTTTATGTGGAAGAAAAAACAGGTGTTATTTATTATTACATTAAATTAGGTCAATAAATTAAGTAAAATTTTTAAATTTTAATAGTATTATTCTTTTTCGTATTAATCCCTTCATTTCCTCCTTTGAAACTTCATTTACTCTCTGGTCAATGCCAATCTTCTTGTTTTCTAAACTAATCTTCCCAAGCGACCATCTTTTGAACTCGTGCCTACAATACAACATATGAAAACGAGTAATCATTTACAAAATCACATGTCCAGACTTAAATGTAGAATTTCGAGATAATGACTCTTAAGACCTTTTCGTTCCGCTATTGAACAATTGTCAATGGCTTGACGAAATGAGAAATTTCATGTTTTTGGAAGTTGGTAATCATTGCAATTGAAGCGCCGATGTCCTTGGTGAATCTATAGTTTATTTATGGTGGAATTAATATGGTGGTGTACCAGAAAGTTCCTACACTTATCAACACAATTAATAGGAAGTTAACCATTGAAGTTTGATTGAAAGTGGCAATATGCACATTCTCTAGAAGTTGCACCCAAAACTTCTATCATTATAACCATGCATTAAATTGCATTAGTATCACAAGACTGTAGGAGCAATATTATTAGAACTTAATTTAGAGATTAAAATCAAACATCAATTCAAAAGTCACTGTGCATTACCCGATTACGTCACTAATTAGGTGTAAATATTATTATCGAAACTGTAAAGATTGGTTGTATGGATATCCATGTGCTTCCATCTTTCTTTCCAAGCTATTACTGAACTTTCTAACATTGTGGCTTCACCTTAAAAAAAAAGTAATGGGTTGGTGAGGAGATCATCATATCTTATCATTAAAATAGATTCTCCTTTTTGTTTAGAGCAATGTGATGCTCCTCATGGTTTTTATATCACTGTTACACAGAAGAATTTGGTTGGTGCAATACATTGAAAATCCATTTCTTATTTATCAGTATTTCTCACGGGATACCCTCTTTGTTTTTGAAATAATGATGAAAACACTTCTCAAGATTTTGGTCTCCTCAATGACTTTTTAATGAAGGGTAACTTTTCTTTTTCTCTTTTTTTTTTTTCTTAAGGGTGACATTGGTATTTAAGAGAAATTGGTAAAGAAAGGGTGTCTTATAAACCATAATTCCAAATCAAAGGGTGAGTTTAGGGCATTGGTGGTTTAGAAATAACAAGGCTATCCCTTGAAATATAGATAATCAACAATGGGAGTCTGCATAATTTTGCCATATAGTTTTTTTTAATTTCATCATCAATATCGATTTTTCTAAAAGATCAATACTATTGAGACTTAATTTATTGATCTAACTTGATGATGTAATTAACTGTGACATTTGGATCGACTGTGGATTTCATAAAATATTAAAATTTGATATTAATCTAATAATTCTACTGAAGTCACATCAATAAATGAAATTTTGAAGTACAAATAGTATTACTCTTTTTCCGAAACATGAAGCTAATCATATGCATGCATATAGACAGCCATACAAATGGTTACAAAAAAAACAGTGATATATATAGTATTCTAGTGGCCCAAGAATAATTTACAAAAATTATATTCATGTATTTTTAGGGTAATGGAAATGTTGACAAAAACAGTGATATATATACTATTTTTTTTTCTTTTGCTTAGAATATTTAATTAATTAAGGAAAGGTAAAAAAAACATTTTTCTAATGGCTAAAAAGAAATTTTTCAAAAATTCAAAGGTTCCATGAAGAAGACTGTCGGTGGGTTCTTTAGACAAGAAGACATTAAGTTTGAAAATGAGTAGGCCTCAAGCACATGGGTAAAGCAAAATCAATTAATAGTACGGCTATATAAATGCTTGCCACGAAGACCTCATGTTCCTTGAGGAGATTAAGATGGTTCCTTCATTAAATTATGTGGGTCATTGCTTCGACACCAATGAAGTAAGAAATCGAGCTTTAATTTTAAATGATGTGACATAATTTTTATCATTAAATATTAATGAGATTTATTTATTTAATAATAAAAATTATGTCACATTATTTAAAATAAAAAATTTTGGTCAGCATAACATTGTTGTTTCTTTTATGAGTGAATTCAGTGTAATCATGGTTAAGTTTCTCGTTACCAAAAATTTTTTTTTTGTACATAATACTGTTGTAAATCCAATATTTGCAAAGAGGAGAAGAAAGGAAGAAGAAGTCCAACCTACTAACATGTTAATACATTAGTCTAAACTTTTTATACATCTCAAACAAAAACTATTCCCAGCTTCATAGATTTCTACCCCTTGGAACTGTTTGGTACGAGGGTATGGGGGGTTGGCAAGATGAATATGGAGAAAATAATCCAAATGATCCTCAAACCTCATGTTTAGATTGAAAATTCAATCATGAATTTTCAAATTCAGCCCATAGCTGACCTGAATATTAAACTCATGATCATGAGTTTCGTCAAACTTAAGGGGGGATGGATTTGAGAAGATAGGTTAAGGGGTTAATGATGTAAAAGATAATTGTATCTTTTAACATGATTATGAATTTGATAGATCAAGGGTAAAATAGTTATTTATAGAATAAACAGTTATTAATTAATTATGATATATCTGTGGATCTTACATATATGTGTTACATGCCAAATATGAGTATGTATTGGATTTGATGTTGAATTTCATATTTGTAAATAGGAATTTGAGTTTAAAAGAATTTGAGAAAATCAATTCAAACCCGCCCAAAATATCCATCCAAATAGGGCCTTTGGGTTTTATTGTATAACTTGCAAAGGATTTCAGTTTTATTTTTGGGTGCTATGAAGAGCTTAGATGTGTATGTTCTTGTGTTTGGATCTTTTATCAAGAGGTTGGTTGTTTTTGATTTAGGGTACGTATTATTGTCCCCATCCCTCTGCTAATTAAGTGAACTTTCCACCATCATCCTTGTGAGTTTATTATTCTCTTTCATGTCCCATTCCTCTTGCGGACATCTCAGCACATCATATAATTGGATCCAAAGGTGACCATTTAAAATCACATAAGTTTATATCCTTCAATTGTTAGGCATTATATGAATGAACTAGGAGAAGAGAGAGTTTCCATTTGCTTGACAAAATTTATTAGTAACTAAGCACACTTCTTTCTATACCTAACTTTCAGAATGTGGTGCACTTAGGTAATATATATATATAACATTTTAATAAATTAGGATAAAGAGACGTGTTGATCCATCGTATATGTCACCTCTTATAATTTGGGATACTAGTTTAACCAAATTAAGTTAGTGATGGGTGGGATATGAATTGGACATGTAACTTTTAGGGGGGAGGGGGGTTGACCCAATTCAAGGGAAGGAATTGTTCAAGCTGTGCCGACCCGACCCCAGGCATAGGTCATTAAGGCTATCCGCCTAGGGGCCCCAATTTAATACATATATTTGGGGTCCCAAAAACATTTTGAACATCTAATTTTAAGGCAATTTTATGTACGAATGTGCAAACCCAATGATAAGTGATACGAAAATAACCAACTTGGTTTAATCTTAGTTAATATGGGTGATAAACAAATAAACTTGTGAAATCTCTCAAATAAATGGAACAACATAAATCTGAATAAACACGAAAAAAATCTGTTAAACATGACTTATATATAATACAACTTGACTATACAAGTGAATGCATTTTTATGATACGATACAACTAAATGCTTTTTTATTATATTTGTTTTTCTAGTTTTACCTATTTTTTATGTAAATACTAAAAAATTGAGTTATCTCAATATACGATATCTTAAGTTAAATCAGACTTTTGTCACATCCATCTTCTTGAAACTTCCAAACAAACTTAGGATAAATTTTTAATTTTAAAACCCCTTGAATCTTCAAGGAACACTCTAAAATATAAAAAGAATATAAAGAGAAGTAAAAGACTAGATATTTACACATAAGATTGTAGAGACACAATAAATTTATAGCATTTGATAATATCATAATCATTCATGAAAATGAAAAGCCGAAAGACCTATAAATTGGTAGAGGTTTTCATTTGCAGAACCAACCAGCCAAGTCTTAACTTAAATTCGAAGCCTTTTTCATCTATGACGGAGTTTTTATTTAAATACTTTTTTACAATACACAACAAACACACAAAATAGGTAAAAAAAAATTAAAGTGGGTTGAAATAGCTTACTATTCAAAATTCTACTAACATTCATCATTTAGAAAATTATTTTACTATATTAACACATTTTAATTCTTGTTTTCTATATTTTTAACTGATAGCAAATTTTATTATAATTTGGTCTACAAATATGAAATTATAAATGAAAACTTGAATACAAAAACTAAATTTGTATTTTCTATCTCAAAAATAAGAAAATATTTTTAAATAAACAATATTAATATTTAAATAATTATTGGGTCATAGAGTCTCATATAATATTTTTACCTAGGGTTTGAATTTGAGTTAGCCTGCCCCTATGTTCAAGGTGGTTGCTGTAACTAGGGATGCAACTTAGGCGGGCTAAATTGAATTCAACCCGAAAAAAATAGGGCTTATATTAGAATTTTTAATACTTGGGTTGGGTTGGGTTGGGTTTGAACAAAAAAATTCTAACCCGAATTGAATTTGAGCAAGTCTCGGATTGTTGAGTTCAACCCGAATATACATAAATATATAAATATATTTAACTAAGGTTAATATTTATCTTTATTTTTTTAGAGTCCAGACTTTCTCATCATTTCAAGTCTTTACCCCTGCGCCTCCATAACTCTCAGATTCCTCTCTCACTCATTACTCCTTTCTCTCTCAATAGTCACTCGTCTGAGTCGTCTTAGATTCTCAGCCTCCCTGTCACTTGTTACTCTTCCTTCTTTCACTCTCTCTCTTCATCTGCGTCTCGCTTTACATCTCAGATCACGTGAAAAAATTAGATCTATACTTAAAAAAATCAAATTTACACTTAAAAAATCAACCCAAATTAAATAATCCAAGCCCAACCCGATTTTTAACCTGAAATCAGTCTGAATTAAATAAACCGAATTAAACTCGGGCAAAACTCGGGTTGAGTTCCTCAAGTTGAAGTAAGGTTAAGGTTGAAGATTATACACCTAGGGTTGATCTCTCAATCCGCTCAACTCGCCCGAATTGCACCCCTGGCCGTAATCCAAAGGGCTGGTCTCTGAGAAGATCAATGGGTTGCCGCAACCCTATATCATTTATGATATACTTACGTTAAAAAATACATTTATGATATTTACATGATTCCACACAAACATATTTAAATGGGTAATGTATGTTAGTATCATGTTCTCTGTCTATTAAACATATAGAACAAGATTGCGAATTTTTACAATATTAGTTCAATGTGTTTAAGTTGCTCAATTGCCTTCCCTACCTACCTTCTATAAATTTTTAAAAATATTGTAAACGTGTTGGAACGTCTTCCCTCGATCATTGAAGTGTCCTTTTACATGTAACTGTACAATTGTAGAAACTACAGCTAGAATAAAAAATCTAGCAATAATAAATGACTTATCACAAATAAAGCAAGATAGAGAAATGCATTACACGCAATTTTCAATTCAGTAGGTTCAATTGTCACTCTTCCTCGCCAATCAAATTAGAAAAAGCTCAAACCTTACTCTAAAACACAAAGCACCACAAAAATTATTTTACCAAAAAAAATGAAATCACAATTCAAAATTGGGTCACTGGGTCTCAAATAAATCAAAATCAGTTGTTATGATACTATGGACTCATCTGATTCAAAATAGTCTCCACGATCTTCTCCTTCACTGGTATTCCTGCTTCGGATGTATCGGTAGTAGATATACTGCAATATGATCTGTTTTCAAGTTTGTTAAGGTGTCATCGCAATCAACTATAAATGCAAATATAATTTTATATGCCAGCTAATAAGGGAAATGTTTCTTTTTCAAATCTAAGTTTGACTCTAATTAGATGCGCAGGGGCTAAATAAGCAAATCTATCTATCTTATATAATTAATGTAAAAAACCGTGGAACTTGGGCTGGCCCATGCACATTATTAGCCTGGTTGCCCATCGAGCCATGGGTTGGCTCAACCTACCACTTGCCAGCTCGTGGATAGACGGATAGCCGAAAAGGAAAGTTTATGGGCTGTTTATGGCCCATTAGACCTACAGGCCGATCCAGTTAATACCCATAAACAGCCCATCTCATGGCCTAAAAATATTGTACAAAATAATTTTTATGTAAAAGTTGACAAAACTAAGTCTATTAGAGCCAGCACTACATGGATAGCATGTGCTAGAGGTCTATTAAACTTGGCCTAATGGACAAGCCGCGGGCTGTGCTATATTGATGGCCAGCCCGACAAAATAAGCTACAGTAAACCCGGCTTCCTGGCTCATTGACCTATAGGCCCATTATAGGTCAATGGGCAGGCCCGTTTTCGACCCCCCCCAGCAATGCCAACAACTTTGGCTGACTGACTTTTTTTTTTTTTTTTGGTCATTATTTAGTATTTATACAGGGGAGGAGGACTTGGTGAAACTCGAACCCTGCACTAGGAGACCAGGCGGAAAAGACATTAACCATTAGGCCATTTCTCATTGTTGTGGCCGACTGACTAATGCATAACAAATTCGAGCTAATACTACTAGAATCTTTTGCAAGAAGATATAAACACAAGGATACAAATAAGTCAAGCACCACGCAGGCAACAGCATCCAGCAACCAAGGCAAGGTGGCTTTAATTTTATCCCATTCGGTTGTTCTTACAACAATGCTGCATTCAAATTAAAAAAAAAAAACTTTAGCAACCGACGAAATAAATAGAAAACAGAGAGAGATAAGATTTTTTTTTAGGTAGAGAGAGAAGGCAAACCTTCCCACATAAGTGAGATTGGCAATGACAGCAAAAATGAACATGAGAGGATTCAAGCCCTACATAAGTTTTTGATCAATGTCTTTATCAATGCCTTGACATAGTCCAAAAGTATGAGAATGGTAAAGCATTACCTCTACACTCCCTCTTTTGATCTGGAAAAAATACAGAACAACCCCTATAAGGCATAAAAAAATCACAGAAAAAAGCAACAATTGTGCAAAAATGGAGCAGTTGGTGCAACGTTTGAATCAGTACTTACGTTCAAGTATATTTGAGGTATTCGACCACCCATATATATAGCAGCCATCATCCATCCTAACCATTGACCAACCACACCGTTCTCTGCCCCATGTTCCTGCCATTAAGGATTGAACAAACTAGAAAATAAAACCTTAAACTTCAAGATCAATCAATACAATTTTTTGAAGTCATTATATATATATATATATATATAGATAGATAGATATCGTACTTGTAATAATTTCCTCCCACTCAATCCAAGGTATACTCCTGCCAAAGCATTAGTTTGGCGAGGCATGTTGACTGATGTAGCAAGGAATGCTCCGTAACCAGCCTGAAATTGGATTGCAATGTTACTAACTTGAAAAAAAAAAAGAAGGTAAATCGAAGATGTGATTCACAGTAAATCAAAAGTGATTACGGTGCCCTTACAATGATGGTGACCTTGGTTTGTACTACTTTCAAAGTTGAATCCAAAAATGAAAGTGTACATTGATGGTGTTTGTTGTGCAACATATATAAATTGTTTAATATTTTTGTTTTTTTATTACGAAAATGATCGTATACAGATAGGTTACAAACAAGAAGCAAAGAGCAACAAAATTTCATTTCTAACACTTTTAACTAATTGCATAAAAGAATCAAACTGATTATATAAATCTACAGTGTACTCATACTCACCGATCGTGGAATTGGTTTAGGTTGGCTAGAAGAAATGTGTGATGAACGATGCATTGTCTCATCCTCTGACGAGGAGTCATTGTCAATTTCCATAGCTGGAGGACCACTTCTAACACTCCATTGATTAGATCGAATCGGCGGGGTTGCACTGCCGGCCAATGATCTTGCTGACCTGCAAATATTGATCCCTTTCTCATAAATATAATAGAAAAAAAATTGGGTTTTGTCACACACAACAAATCAATAAAGGCACACGAATGTTCCGCCACTTCAAGATCTAGAGAAGGGAAGATGTATGCATGCTGTTTCGGGACTCGAAATTAAATACAAATTTGAAAGAAACAAAATTTAGTCAGATTAGCAAAGGAGTACATGTAATAAAAGTCCCTTCGTGGGGATGCTCTGACTGTGCGATTGGGTATTGGAATGCTTGAATCAGTAGGCTTAGGTGGTTTTTTCAGAGGTTTTTTAGCTTCTTCAACCTGAAAAAAAAAAAAAATAAAATACAATTCATTGACATTTTTGATTGCCTCGACAAAGAAGAATAAAAATGTTACCTGAAAATGGAAATATTACCGGTTGGCTAACGTCGATCTGTCGGCTTTTCCACCATGTATATATATAATCATAATACAGACTCTGAAGTGCTAATATCAATGTACCGGTAGCGTATAGCTGTTCAAGGATTAATATGAAGAAAAAAATCAGTGGAAAGTGCTGGGTTAAAAGTAAGCATTATGAATTGATTGAAAAGGACTAATCTTGTAACTTGATACAGAAAAGATGTAAGAGAAGGCCAAAACTGGTATTACCAGAGCTGTGTAGAACTGGGTTGGCAACTGCATTCAGAACAGCAAAAAAAAAAATTAGATAGAAACACGGAAGAGAGAGAATATAACTTGCAGTCACTAAGCTATACATTAAACTCCCCGTTCAAAAAAACAATACATTAAACTCATTGTCTGCCAAAATAAAAAAAAAATAGAGCATTACATAGTGAAAAAGAAGAAAAAAAATCTCACAGTTGCAGGTTCAAGAAGGCAGCCCACTATGTTGAATATGTCACTGCACCAAGAAAAAACACAAATGTTTGATAAAATACAAGATTCATATAACCGACTCCTAAGGAGTTGGTCAAGGTGGATAAGATTTTTTTGGATTGAGTTGAGGTTTGGAGAGAGAAGAGAACAAACCCAATTAACCAAGTGAGTAGAAAAAGGATAGAGATTCCATGGCTGGACTTTTGGCGAAAGTTGGTGATGATTTGCGGGATTTCTGCAAGTCCCCAACAGAGGAGGCTGACAAGACCTAAAACGAAGGAAAATTCATCTCTAAAATTGCATAGACAATCTTTGAAGTACTTCTCAACCCAACCCACACAAGGTTTGTTCTCCTTCACACAATAAGGCATCGAATCCTGCAACGATGGCTTCATCTCTCTCCCCTTTCTCTCCCCACTCTCTTCTCTGTGTGTAGTGAGTGCTTTGGTTGGCGAGGTTGTGAGTGTTTTGGTTGGCGAGGTTGACGGCTTGACGATGAAATTCAGGTTCAATTTGTAGAACTAGAAGCCAATTAATTCGCAAGCAATCTTTAATGAGAGGGAAGCCATTGTTTTACATTTTTACCCTTTCTGTTTTACTGCAGTCCAAGAAAAAATAAATTAAACCCTTCTAGCTTTTTCATTTTGTTTCTTTGGCTAATTGTAAACCAATTGGTTTAATACTCTAAGAAAATATTATATATATATATATATATATATATATATATATATA